ATCGGGTCCTCCCTCCTTCCTTTCGTTTCCTATTATTAAAGGTTCTGCTGTGTTCCTGCTGAACTGGTCCAGTTCTGGACCTGGACCCAGAAGGATCCGCCCCGCACTAACCTGTGGATTTTAGTCTGTGAATAAAGTGTTGAATGCCAAACTGATCAGAGCGTGTTTCTCGTGTTTTCACCAGAACCACTGAAGCTGCAGCAATCAATCGTTTATTAGTGAAACCAGGAAACACCGAAGTACAGAGCAAAGCAAACATTGATCATCATCCTTCAGCCGGAGGGATCAGGACTGAGGATGATGAGGATGAAGGAGGCAGCAGCGCTGTGGGCCTAGAGGCCCGTCTGAGTGGGGCTGAGCAGAGCCACAGCGGGTTCGCGGGTTCGGATCCGCAGCTTGTTGACGGTCGTCTCGGCGATGTCGGCTCTCTCCTCGGCGTCGTCCAGCTCATGTTGGATCTTTCTGAAGCGCACGGTGGTGCTGCTCACCTGCTCCTCCTGGTGGACAGACAGAGAAACACCTGGAAGGTTAAAGACCCCGGCTGCTGCAGAAGGTTCTGATCCGGTTTCCAGAATCTTTCACATAATCAATGATCTGCAGGTTGAATTCTTTCCTTCATCAAACAGTTGATGTTTTAAATAGTTTGAGCTGAACCGCCTTTGGACCTGGATCTGGTTCCCAGAGGGTTCTAAAGACTTACAGCGTTCTCAGCTTGTCTCTTGTAGCTCTTGGCTTTGCTCTGAAGCTTCTCGATCAGCTCCTGCATCCTCACTAAGGTCTTCCTGTCCTCCTCCGACTGCAGGAGACAGAAGCAATCAAGCACAGAACCAGCAGGAGATCAGGTGCAGAGGCAGGCGGGTCGGACCTGGTACATCAGCTCTTTGACTCTCCTCTCATAGCGGCGGACTTCCTTCTCATACTCCTCGCTCCTCTTTTTCTCCTCCAGCAGTTCCAGCTGAAGCTGGCGGACCTGGAAACAGCGGCGCAGACCTCAGACCAGCGGTCTACAGACCTCTCTCTGGTTTGATCCAGGGTTCCTTCAGCCTAACATCAGAGTTTTTCCTCACCCTGGTCTCCAGTTTATGAAGCTGCTTCTTTCCTCCCTTCTGGGCCGTCTGCTCCGCCTCGTCCAGTTTCAGCTGCAGGTCTGTCGGACCAACAGAACGAGTCAGTGGAGGAGCTGAAATCCCAGTCATTCAAGTTCCAACCGAACAACCGAGCAGCGAAGCAACAGAATAAAATAACATCTGTTTGCTTTCTTTGGATCTGAATCCAGCAGATTCAGCCTGACGATGTTTTATCCAGTTAGCTTCAATAAAACACTTTAAATCCCAATCTGACCCAAATCTATTCATATATAAATCCAGTATGTAACGTTGAAGGCTTGACTTTAACTTTATTTCAAACTGCAGTTTTTAATCAGGCGGTTCAGCAAACTCAGAAAGACTTTCAGTGGTTCTGAGGAAAAGTTTCGTCCTCCAGAGAAACGGATTATTTAAAGGGCGACTCTCCTCTTTTAAACTGAGTTCAACTTTAACTCCAGGTAAAATCAAAGTGAAGCTCCATTCAGCTAGCAGAGCTAGCAGAGCTTCAGTCAGCTAGCGGAGCTTCAGTCAGGTAGTGGAGCTAGCGGAGCTCCAAATGTCGTCCTGGTCTCCACGAGGCTGAGAACATCTGGACTCAGAGGAGAGCTCAGAGATCTGCGCTCAAACAGACCAAAGTCAACAGCAGGGCAGCAGCTTCCAGTCTGGGAAGGAATCGGTTCCTTTTCCAAATTTTAAACTTAAATATTTTATGAATTGCTGATTAAAACTAGATTAATACTAAGATGGCTGCCACTGATCTGTTAGTCCCGCCCTAAAGGTCAGCCTTTAAAACTTGGTTCAGCATCCAATCAGAACCAGCATGACCAAATAAGGAGTGGCACCCCAGGTGAGGAGAAAGTGATGCACCTTTCACTGTGGACTCCATGCTCCTCTTCATCCTCTCCAGAACATTGCTGCTGTCCTGCTCCTTCTTCAGCTCCTCGGCCATCACAGCCGCCTGGTGAGACAACAGGGAGGCAGCCATGATGTTTGATGTTGGGTGGTCTCTAAACTGGCTGAGGAGTGAGGACTGACGTCAGTGATGGCCTTCTTGGCTTTCTCCTCAGCGCTGCGGCTCTCCTGCATGGCCTCGTCCACCTGTCCTGTCAGCAGAGACAGGTCCATCTCCAGCTTCCTCTTCTGGTTCAGCAGAGCCGCGTTCTGGAACACGGAGAACCTCAGGTCAGAACTCCTCCTGTCATGGCGTCTCCTTCCCTCTGTAGACCTACCTGCACCGTGAGGTGGTTTACTCTCTCGGACGCCTCAACCAGATCACTTTCAACCATCTTTCGGGCGCGGTCTGTCTGTTCTAGGACGCCTCTTAGCTCCGCCTCCTCTGCTGTCATCAGTGCACAGCTGCGCTCCAACACAATGACCTGCTCCTGCAGCTGGTTGGCCACCTGCACTTTGTCCTCCAGCTCCACCTGCTGCTCCTTCACCTGCGGCAGAAGTTAAGACATCTTGTTGGCAGTTAGCAGAGACGGAGAGAATCAGCTGGAGCCTCTCCATCATTTTTCACGGCCGTAGCTGCAGGTGAGCTGGTCAGGTGAGGTTACCTGGGTCTGCAGGTGTCTGATGATCTTCTGGCTCTCAGCTGACTGCCGGTTAGCGTGTGCTAACTGGACCTCCATCTCATTCAGGTCTGATTCCATCTTTTTCTTCAGACGGACGGCTTCCATGCGAGCGCGGCTTTCTGCCTCCAAACTGGTCTGCATGCCCTCCAGAGATCGCTGATGGTTCCTCCTGGGGGGCAGAGCAAATCTGTGGATGTTATTCACTGTTTTCTCCAGCTGGTTTGCAGTTTTCACAGACTGATCATTTAAGGCTGATGACGTTTTGTTGTTTGCTCTCTCTCCCTTTGCCGGTTGCTTTGACCAGAACCATCCTTTATCTCCACTATATGTAATCTGTGACGTCAGCAGTTTGCAATCAAAGCTTCCATCTTGTTTGGTACCTGAGGGTATCAAGCTCTTCATCTTTCTCGGCAATCTTCTGGTCTATCTCATTTCGAATCCGCTGCAGCTCCATCTGGAATCTCAGGTTCTTGCCCTCCTCGTGCTCCAGTGTGCCCTGATTGGTGGAGAGGTGGAAGGTTACCAGGTCAGGAACGTTCGCAGGTATCCAGGTTCAAGGGAAGCCTTACCTCAGCCTCTTCCAGAGCTGCTCGGATGCTGCTTTTCTCCACATCCAGAACCTTCTTCATCCTCTCCAGCTCATGAATGGTCTTTCCTTCCTCACTAATCTGGTCCGTTAGCTCAAGGATTTCATCTGGAAAAGTTCACACCATAACAGAGCTGTCTGCTGGTGTTCATTATAAACATGTTCGGTAATGGACATTTAAAACATGGTTTTCATCTAGGACACGGGGGACCGACGTCTATGCTGCTTTTTGCAAATTCTAGAAGCTTCAGGAGACACTTCCACAGGGACACGCAATCCTGTCTCCCAACGTTCTTTGGGACAAAAGGTTCTACTGATAGACTGTATCTCATTCTGTGTACTTGTGCGTTCCTGTGAAACACCATCAGCCTAGCGCTGGTCCAGTTCACTAGAACAGCAGACAGGGAACGGACAGTTAACCCTGGCCACTTTAAATTCTGACATAAGGTCAACGCCTGACGTGCTCGTTAAATCCGATTACTAAAATATAACCAAGAATGTCTGCTAGCTGCTAGCTTGGTTAGCTTTATGTCAAACTTCGCTAAAGGAGCTCAGTTCTTACCTTAAACCACAGAAGAATCAAATGTCTAAAAGTTTAGTGATTTCTGATTTAATAAATTGATTTAACCAAATAATGTTTCTGACATTATTTGACCACATTCCAAATTCAGCTGAACTACGATTTCATTGCCTCTTTTTATTGAATATGTTTTCCAGCCATCGTCATTCCTTCTTACTTTGTGTTCATAGAAGTTTAGTTCAGTTTAACTTGTTTAGTCCAGAGTTTAACTCAAACCTTTGATCTCGAGGAGGTTGTTATGTTTTGAATGGAAGTTGTCATTAATTAATTAAAGGGGAATTTCGTTTTTTTTCCATTGGTCCTTGATTTTCCGTTATTCCATCATGTT